TGGACATTTTTTAAAACAAAAATTAAAGTATCGAATATTCCAGAAAAATTTTCCATGAAAGTGAACAACACTGAAAGAACTTCTGCCAATAACACCGTAGAAATTGCAAATACATTCAACACGTATTTCGCCTCTATCTTTACGCATGACTCCGATATTGATCACCAACGACAACAAGAACATACGGAAACTGACACCACATCGGAAGACATAACATTAACAAACGCTGAAGTGATGGCTGTGTTGAGAAATTTGGATAACAACAAAGCTCACGGCCCCGATGCAGTTCCTGCGCGACTACTGACAGAAACTGCGTTCCAGATCGCTCCTTCACTTTGCGCACTCTTCAACAAATCATTACGCTGTGGCATTCTTCCTGATGATTGGAAATTAGCTAATGTCGTACCTGTGCATAAGCGAGGTGAGAAATCCTACGTAGAGAACTATCGACCAATCGCATTGCTTTCACTTATCTCTAAAGTACTCGAACGTTGCGTCTTTAATAACATCAAACATCAAGTATTCCAACAAATCAACCCTTGTCAACACGGATTTGTGCCAGGAAATCGTGCGTAACGCAACTTATTGAAGTATTTGAACAGATAGGGCGCAAATTGGACAATGGTGAACAAATAGACGTGGTTTATTTAGATATGTCGAAGGCATTCGATAAAGTAAGTCATACTAAGCTTCTTCATCGACTACGCGAATTTGGGTTTCGAGGAAACATCCTGAACTGGTCCTCATCGTATCTCGATAATCGTCGTCAGCAAACAACGGTTCATGGAGCAACATCAAGACCTTTAGCCGTAACATCCGGAGTGCCGCAAGGTTCGATACTTGGCCCATTGTTGTTCCTATTGTACGAAAACCACCTCCCCAACACCGTGAACAATTCAACTATCGCCACCTTTGCGGATGATACGAAGATATTCAGAACCATAAGCTCCACATCCGATGCATCCTCGGTACAGGAAGACCTTACGAACTTTGAAGTGTGCTCCAGCAATGTCAACCTGGAACTTAACGCTGAAGAGTGCAAAATTCTAAGAATTACCCGAAAGCAGAAGAAGATAGAATACCCTTACAAGCTTCATAACAATGTCTTAGAAAGCACCGAGTTTGAACGTGATTTGGGAGTGTGGACTACATCTAACCTTACCTGGTCAAAACAAGTTGAATGTCAATGCACACAAGCAAGTAAGATGTTAGGATATATAAGAAGATCAACACTTGACATGAAAGCTATCTCCGTTCGTCGCACCCTATATTTGTCCCTTGTCCGTTCCCAACTATGCTATGGCTCTCAAGTCTGGGCTCCCCAATCAGTCAACTTGATCAAGCGCACGGAAAGAGTGCAAAGGCGAGCAACCAAGTACATTCTGGATCTTCCTTTCTTCTGCGAGGTCAGTTACAACCAGAGACTTGATATGCTAGATATGATTCCTGTATGTTACTGGCACGAATTTCTTGATATGATTTTCTTCTTCAAATGCATTCATGAGATGATAGTCATTAACAACGACCTACTACCAACAATCCAGAATAGAGAAAGAGCTACAAGATCTGCTGATCCGAACTGTTTCAAGTTTACAACAACAAAAAATGACCACAACATACCAGAAGTCATTCCTGACGAGATCAACGAGAGTGTGGAACATTTTACCAAAAGACTTGACAGATAAAAACACTACATTTAACGGATTTAAAAGCGGACTTCTCAAACACTTTAAATCTGCCTTACGAAATGTTTACAACGCAGAGGATCCTCGAACTTGGAAATCTACATGTTTGTCTTGTAATACGTCTCGTAACCTGTCTTGTCCCATATCGTGCTGTTCTTAGTTTTTTGGGGAAGAAGCAGAATTCTCTGTCAGTCTGTGAGCTGTGTTTAAAACCAGTTTGAATATTAAACAACGATTAAAATATAAATATTCTACATGGTATGAATTTAGTAAGCTTGAATATACAGAAATTTGTGTATAAGGAGAAATTGGTGGGGTATTCTGCTTTTAACCCCCGATATTTTAAAGTTTGTTTGTCTTGTATTGTGTAAAGGGTCGCTGTAATTGGCGAAAGCTGTAGCGTATACCCAGCCATGTCAATGTATGTATCGTTTATGTTAATGTATGTATAGCAAGTGATTTTAAGTTGATTTGGCAAAGCCTAATAAATAAATATATATTATATCTGCTTCATATACATCTTGGAAACTGCTACTTGGCTGTATATGACATGACACAGTGGAAAAGATCGACCTCTCCCCATGAACAAAGGATGGTTAACTTCCCATTTCCTCTGTAAGGGGAGGTGGGGATCATGTTTGTGGAATGACCTATTACAGGGAGAGGTACACACCCTACTACAATGGTCACCCCCTACAATCTTTATTAATTTAACCCTTTAAGTAACTGGCATTGCACCCTGATGCACCCTACTGTACTTTATTAAATTCTTTTACTCTGTCGCCAGACGATTTTACTCATTAAGGGGAGAGTGCTGCCACTCAATGGGTTAACAGCCCCTGAACGTTTCCATTATGAGCTTCATGTAGAATCTTAATTTCAATTATATTAAAGGCACAGTTCAGCCTTTTGAATGATGGTTTTTAAGGTGCATTTCAGCCCTTTCAATTGAAAAAACTAACTAGAAAAATCAATTATACATAATTCAAGATCAGTAAGCTCAATGTTTTTAACAATAAAAATATTTTAAAATGTTAAAAACATTAAGTTTGCTGATCTTGAAGTATGCTTAATTGATTTTCCTAGTTAGTTTTTCCAATTAGAAGGGCTAAAATGCGCCTTAAAAACCATCATTCAAAAGGCTGAACTGTGCCTTTAAGAACAACAAGATGCTGTCTTGATCTAAATACCCAAAGGATGTGACTGTAGGATAAAGGCATGTTGTTTGGTGTAGTTTTAGTTTTAAAATACACTGTATGTACCTACTGTAAAAATTTTATCTGACAGCTACATTCCCCATTGATACAACAAAAACAAGACTTCAGCTTCAAGGTCAACATATTGATGTTGCCAACAAAGAAATCAGATACAAAGGAATGTTTAGTGCCTTTGTGAGGATATCAAAGGAGGAAGGTGTCAGAGCTCTGTACAATGGGTAAGAAATTTTAATCTATGCCAGTGGATAACGAAAACAGACATAGTGTGTTACTAAAAGTTAAGGTTTGGACCACACCCATTTTTATCAGTGTTCACACCTGGTAGTACATGTAGGTATATATAGGACCTTCTTTAACAATTATGTTTTAATAGGAATGAATAGGTTTAATAATTATAATGACGGGGATACTAATTACAACAATTCAGTGTCTTCTACTACCTTAGGCCACATAAAAAAAAATAGTTGGTTAGCGTCCCCGCCCGCCCACAAAAAAGGCCCCGCTCAGATTATTTTTTTATTTTTTATTTTAAAAAAACCGACTTTTATTGATCAACGGGCTCTAATATATGTAGTATTTCTGTTGACTGTAGTCAATTGTGTTAATAATTTGTGAAATTGCGTGCGAAAATGACGGTATGAATTATATTTTGAAATATATAAAAAATATCTGTACTGCGCAAGAAAATCCAGTTTCGGACCTAACAGTGAGTAAAACCAAGGCGTTAAAAATTAGTAAAAATTAAAAAGAAAGCGCCCGCCCGCCCACTTTTTGGCAAAAGCTAAGGACGCTAACCAACTATTTTTTTTTATATGGCCTTACAGTGGTAATACATCAAAACATATTACAGTAAATATCTTTGATAATTATCATTGATGAAGATCCAGGAATTATGAATCGAAAACTTTGCAAAATATATAATAAATGTGGTGTTAATTCCACAAACCAAAACGAAGTTATTCTGAATATTGAATATAATAATAATTATTTATTTTAAACCATTCACTTTATAATATATGCACCCTGTCAATCATATTTTACGCATCTTTGCGTTCAGTTTGGTGCTGAGGCGTTCGGATTCTAGCGGTGCGTTGTTTCAGTAGTTTTGGTTTTTTAGGACACCCTGTACAGTATATACTGTGACTTTAATTAAAAGGTTTATGTTAGGAAGAGGAGGCCGGGGGCACCATGCAATGGACTTTACGTCCAGTTTGTGCCTTGTCCGTTTGAGTACAGCACTTTTTAATTACATGTTTAGATGAATATTTGTATATATATTTTGAATTAATTTGTACTCAATAAAGTTTAACAAACTTAAACATAAACTTATAATATGGTTACTCAACACCCTCTAATGCTCTATATTATACAGGGTGTATAAAAAAAAGCGCAATCCTCGACTGAAATGTAAATTGCTAAACAAATAATAGACGAAAACGTTAAAGTTTACATTCATTTTAAAGCGTAGCCATTCAGCTTTCTAACAGTGGGTTGTTTCTTAAATTTGACTCATTGGTTCGCGGGTAATAATACTTTACGTTATTGCGATTGGAGATTAAAAAAATTGAGATGGAATAACAAATCGTTCTCATGAAAATAACTGGATTGTAACAATAAGTATAATTACGGCTTTTCTTCCACTATTTTTAACTGAGTTTGAAACTTCAAATGCGATATAATTTTGCCTTGGACCATCTAAGCTGACTGACATCAACTTGCTATAATTTCTGTTTACATTACATCGCAATTCGATGACACTCTGGCTCAGACACCAGAATGTTTTGACGATTTTTAGCATTCGTTTAGGATTTTCAAACAACCTGGTCTCTTTTGAAATACTTTTAATTTGTTCTTACGTGGATTTCCAGATGTAGTGACGACAACATTAAAGTTTAAAGAAGAAAATTCTAACATTTAAACCGACTAAACAATAACATAGTAAACTTGCATAATTAAACAGCAACTGAAAATGATAGGTTTTACTAAATCTTTTCGTGTGCAATTATTACTAGCATTGGAGACAAGGATATTAGTTTATTTGAAAGAGAAAAGAACAGGCTTTGAAGTAAGCCTAAAAGCGTTTAACTAGAAATAGTATTTCGAAAGTTATTAAGCATAAAAGATGAATTGCGTCTATTTTGATACACCCTGTATATATATATATATATATATATATATATATATATATATATATATATATATATATATATATATATATATATATATATATATATATAGTAGAGAGTGAGATACTGAAAAATACACAGTGTGATATTTTCCATATCTTCGCTAGTGAAGATATCTACCACGTGACTTTTTCCAATTTGCTTTTCAGCGTGAAATTTCACAATTTTTTGCTTGGGACTACAGTACGTATTAGCCTCCTCCGCAGGCCTCTCTATGGGTTTTAGCCTGCGAATGGGTTTTGAAAAATAATTTTCTGGAGAGGCCTGCCATAAATCGAACAAAATCGAATCTTAGTGGCCGTGGTACGTTACCCCATCCCCTAAGTAGGCTTTTGACCCTAATTATATATTCAGTTTGAAATCTTCGGGCGAGGAGCGAAGCTTGCGAATATAAAAAGCTTTTAAATAAATATGTTTTTATATAATACGTCGAAGTATTCAAGGTATACGAAAATTAGTTGGTCAATTGAAAGGATTATATCGCAATGTCTCTCGCGGTCTAAAAACGACGTGCAAATTTTGAATCGCACGCCCGAAGCAGCCAAATGTTTACAAATTACAATGTCTACAAAAGTATATTTATGAATGCATGGATTCAGAGTTCCGCTCAATTGTTCAGGCGAGGAACTACAATTTGAGGAAATTATCTGGCATAATTTCGAACGCAAAACGAAGAATGGAACAATACGTAAGGTATAATTCTTTTTTTTAATTTAATATATTCGCCCAAATCAGTTTATAAAATTAACAATCTAAATAAAAAATATTTACAGTAGTAGGGCTAGGAACCTTCTAGAAACCATAAGGCTTTTGTTTAAGGTCCCTAGTTACAATTCAAATAATATAATATTAAAAGTTAATACCAGTCCAATTGTTTTCAAAGGAATTACGGTGATATATTTACAATAAGGACAGTGCGTAAAGATATATTAGACTATAACAACTATTTGGCTTTTCACTTTGTGCTAAGAATTCTACTTATTTAAATTTGACAGAAGAAAATATATTTTCATTGTGGATTTAAATATTGGAAGAGATCTAATTTTCTTATATTGCGTCGGAAGATTATTCCACACATCGATGCCGTTAATACCGAGCGTGTGTTTTTTATAATTTGTTCTAGTACAACTTTTGTGGAGTAATGATGCGTTTCTTGTGTTATAATTATGGATTTCTTTGTTAGTTAAAAAATATTTATTAAAAATTTCTGGAAGATTGTAGATGAAAATATCGGAACATAAATAGACTTGTTAAAAAATCATTCAATTTATACAAGTTTAGTATTTTAAGGTCATTAAAAATTGGTTCAGTATGGTCAAAATAGGATTTGAAGGTCATTAATCTTACTACCTTTTTCTGGATATTAACTAATTTTTGAATGTGGGATTTGTAAGCGTTACCCCAAACTAAATTACAGTATATAAGATATGGATAGACCAATGCGTAATAGATCAGTTTTAAGCAATTTAGGTTTGTAAAATGTCGTATTCTGGATATAATAGCTGTACATTTGATAATTTTTTTTGAAATAAGATTTATATAATCACACCATGATAAAAATTAATCTATAACAATCCCTAAAAACGTAGTTTTTTTGCTTGTTTTATAGTTTCGCTATTTATAGAAATTCTTAAATCACATTCAGGTTTCTTATTTTTTGATATGAAAAGGATCAGCTTGGTTTTCGCAGTGTTTATAGATAATTTGTTAACATTCAACCAATCTGTAATTTTGTTTATTTCAACTTGAATAGTTTCGTTTAAAGTTTTGAGACAAACATCGCTATACAGTATGTTAGTGTCATCGGCAAATAATATAATTGAAACTGCAATATTGAATATCATTTATGTATAAGAGAAATAATACAGGACCTAAAACTGATCCTT